TTCACCTGGGTGAATGGAAGGGTATTATAACGAGAAGACGAATCTAGAACAAGCTGACGAGGCTCGATGTGGGTTAAACCATAGGCAATTCGAAACATCAAATTGTCATGATACAGACATGTCCGAAAGAGCTTGGATATGCTAGACAGCTCTGATGAATGTCGAGACCAGATGCTACGTGAGGTATGTAGATGTTTTGAGGTCCACACTGGCCTCCACCGTTGCACGACTAACACCTTCACTTGCGTCTTCGCAGCTTTCTTCTTGAGCCAAACATTCCAGAGTAATGAGTGTGGAGAAAGCGCACCACATGATACCTTTGCTTCGTAAATGTCTGGTAAGGAAGCGAATGTCAACGGGCGTTAAATCACTTGACATGATCACAAATCAGACGTGATACAGGCGCAGCGCAATTGATGTGTACCTTATACAGTTTAACTATCCCAAGTTCATCAAGTTTGGACAGCACTCATGCACCTACTGTTTTAGATTAAGAATATACCTACCAGTGATGACGAAGTGAAGTAGGAAGTTGGAAATGGAGATATAAAATATGGAGGAGGATAATTGAATTTCCGACGCACCACTTTAGCAAGTACATACCTGAAGTCGGAGAATGCGCCTTCTACATACCGGCTCACAGTCGACCGATGGTTGCTCCATTACCACGTGACATTCCACCCGCTCGAACCCGTACCAACAGCTTTATGTCGTCTGTGAAGAAGAAAGATTTGTACTTTTCGCTCTTTTTTTCCTGAAATCACCTATAGACTTTCTGATCCAAGCAATCATTCAAAATGTCTATGGGATTTGATGACTGTGCGGTGGTCCGGCCCGAATTCCCGAAATCTGTCCCCGACACTCCTGCCAATGTCGTCGAGCAGTTTAAGATGACGGGAAAGGTGGTGGTAGTGAGTGGCGCCGCAGATGGCATCGGATATGCTGTTGCGGAGGCAATGGCTGAAGCAAATGCCCATGTGGCACTATTATATAACTCGTAAGTTCAATGATATGCGTCGGCCATGATAAGCTCTTGGTCTAATCGTTTGATACAGAAACGATGCTGCTATTGAGAAGGCTGCTGCTTTGGCTAAGACTCATAGTATCAAGACGAAGGCATATAAGGTCGATGGTGAGATAAAATCGCGAGACGAAAGGCCTATAGATCCGACACTAAAGTATCATAGTTTCCAATGTCGACGAGGTGCAGAGCACGATAGAAGCGGTTGTGGCCGACTTCGGCAGGATAGACGTTTTCGTGGCCAACGCTGGTAAGTCTCGAGTTTCCTTTGAGTCCTAAAGTATAGCAACTGCGCTGACTCTTACGAGGCATGGCTATATCAAAACCTATACTGGAGCAGACGCTGGATGAATACCGAAAGCAGATGTCTGTGAATGGTATGATCCCCCACTTTGAGGTCAGTCGATCTTCGTCCACTAATTTTCCAATCAGTTGATGGCGTGGTATTCAGCGCCAAGTACGTTGGTGAGGTCTTCAAGCGCCAGGGAACAGGCAATCTGATCATCACTTCGAGCATGAGCGGCCACATTGTCAATGTGCCAACAGACCAGCCTGTATACAATGCCACGAAAGCTTTCGTGACGCACTTCGGCAAGTCTTTAGCCCGCGAATGGAGGGAATTTGCTCGAGTAAACGTTGTATCCCCAGGATTTTTCGATACGAAAATGGGCGCAAGCCCTTCTGCTCTCAACGAGGCATATCGGATGGCCGTACTGGGAAGGCAGGGTCACACGAAGGAGATCAAGGGGCTGTATCTGTACCTTGCGAGCGATGCATCAACATACACCACAGGCGCAGACATCCTCATTGATGGTGGATATGTTCTGCCCTAAACCATGAGAATTGGAAATATTTTGGAAAGGATTGATTGAGTCTACTTTGTTTTTCAATTATGCATGTCTATTGACCTACGCTCAATTGACATTAGCGCCGGGACCCCCTCCTGGGTGACGATCACCGTGACTGGTGACGGCCTCAAAAATGGCTTTTGCTCACCACAATGGTTGTTACCAGAAAAAACGATCACGGTGATAATCATACAGCGAATATCGTCACATTCGCTTACAATCAATTCAGTCAAGGTGACGAGTTCGAATCGCAATAATGCTTATTTTCCAAAGAATTCATTCTTTTTGCCCGTGACCACTTTGCAGCCCGTGATCGTTTTTTTGAAAAAAATCAACTCCCGGGTAGCAACCATTTTCACCACCAAAAATAGGGCTGTGACGCCCTCCCGCGTGCCTGCCTTCACCTTCGTAACTGCTTCAATTCACCACCACCGATGGTATATGAGACGTTATAACCTCCCTCCCGTACGCGTGATTTGATAAGTGAATGAATTGATGTGTGATTCCATACTACCGTACTGTAACCAGTAACCCGTAGACCTGCTGTTCGACTCGCCGTATTGTGACTGAGTTTTCCAATTGTGACGGTGCCTGAAAATGATGTGACATGGTGTGCCGGCGTGACGTGGTAATGTACAAATGAGTGTACCGCATGTACAGTACAAAAATACCTGTATATGCGGTATAGCGATATTCTCTTTGCTATTCCTGACCACAGTGCGGTGATCGTTTTTTTTAAAAAAAATCGTCTCCGTAATCGTTTTTGCATTTTGTGATTGTCTCGGAGCGTAAAAATCATTTCCCAAACCGTTCTAATTTCTATGCAAAGATATGCAAAGGACGATCAGCGAAAGAGAATCATTTTCGGACGCAAAAATTACTTTTTTGCAGGAAACAAGTCACCGTGACCGTCTCCTAGGAGGGGGTTCCGACGCTAATAGAGTCCACGGGTAGGTACCTAGGGCGGGGGTAGGTAAGTATGCACAAAGGTAGCATTCATCTAAAAATAGTTTCCTCTAACGAGACTGCTATCCACCCATGTTGCATAAACCGGACGCCACCTGCAGAGTCACCTATCCTGGGCAATGCACTCACCTTCCAAGCTGGAAAGACACGAGCAACCGTTGTAACTCATTGACGAAATTGCCTGCTAAAGACCCCTCTGGATGCTTAACTGAAAGGGACATATTGTGAGATTGCCCTTCAATGATCCGAAGCAAAATTTATTCTCAATTTCAGACAACTCCAAAATCCTTGCGACTACCAATTCTCAAGCCATTCGTGAGACCTCTCTCACACTCGTTCCCACCCATGGCCGCATCGGCTGCTGGCTCTCCGCCTGCTGCATCTATTTCCGATAGTGATGCAACTTATAAGCCGCGATACATCGATGTAAGTTAGAGCTATGAGTTCGGTCTTACTGGAGTGTAATTTGGTCACTACCGCGATGGAAATCTCATCTCATCGTTGGCATTCGTTGCTTACACTCTGTACAGATTGGCATCAACCTCGCTGATACAATATACCGAGGCATCTATCACGGCAAAGAGCGACACCCAAATGATCTCCACGCCGTAGTATCACGCGCAAAAGAAGTCGGATGTGAGAAGCTCATAGTGACCGGCTCTGACTTCCCCTCCTCAAGAGAAGCACTCGGAATTGCTCAAGAATATCCCGGCGTCGTATACACAACAGCTGGCATCCACCCCTGCTCAAGCGCAATATTCAGCACCTCACATTCAAAGAACGACGCAAAGGAACACAGCTTATCAAGCTCTGACCCCGATCCGGAGAAACCTATATCGGAAGAGGACGAGGCAGACTTAGAAAAGACAAGACACATCATCGCCGATCTGCAAACGCTCATTGAGTCTGCACGAAAGACCCATCCGGGTGCTCTCGTAGCATTCGGGGAGTTCGGACTCGATTATGATAGGCTTCACTACTGCTCCAAGAAAATCCAACTGCACTCCTTCTCCGCCCAACTCGATCTCGTACTTACCCTTTCACCCCAACCTCCCTTATTCCTGCACTCCCGCGCAGCACATTCAGATTTCGTCTCCCTCTTGAAGTCAAAGTTCGGGCCCAAGCTCGAAAAGCTAGAACGAGGCGGCGTAGTCCACAGCTTCACCGGAACCGCAGAGGAGATGAAGGAGCTTGCCGATCTAGGGTTGTACATTGGGACGAACGGATGTAGTTTCAAGACAGAAGAGAACTGCGATGTCGTCAAGCAGATACCGCTCGACAGACTGATGCTAGAGACTGATGGCCCGTGGTGCGAGATCAGACCTACGCATGCGGGTTGGAGATATTTACTCGGGGCTCATAATAAGGCTAAGGAGGAGAGCACTCCGAATGGAGGTGCTACACCGGCGTCTGAGTCCACGCCTGCTTCAACGGTGGCTGCTACGCCTGATACCTCGAGAAATGGGACGCCTAGTATACCTGGTGATGCACAGACGAAACCTGCCAAACCACCCAAGAAGCCGAAGAAGAAAGAGCCCGAGATACCTGAGCGTTGGAGAGCTGTCAAGAAAGAGAAATGGGTCGAGGGATCGATGGTGAAGGGTCGTAATGAGCCCTGTATGATCGAGCGCGTGGGACAAGTCGTGGCGAGTGTGAAGGGAGAGTCGCTGAGAGATGTATGTGAAGCTGCATGGGCGAATACCGTTAAGGTCTTCGGGCTTGGTGAGGATTCGCCAAAGTGAGGATCTCTACCAGTGAACAGGAATGTGAGTAAATGTTAGATAATGTGAGACAAAGGTATCGAGAGCGCATGTAGACATTGCTGGTAAAGAAAGCCCTTCCACTGTGAGCTGTAAAAGCAGCTAACATACACAAATCAAATCAGCATTACCACAAAAGCTGATTAGAAAGTCCTTGGGCACTCAGGTGGCAGACCTTCACTTGAGCAGATACATATAATAATTCCTTCATAATCTGACACCGCACACCCCGCCCACGAGGCTTCCCCCTTCAACGTCTATAAACAACTCTCCGAATAAGACTTTCGGATAATCATCTCTCCCTCGTACAATAATCAACGTTCCGGTACTTCAACGGAACAGAGAAAAGCACGTGCGCGTTGTATATCTTCAAGATTATCAAAGCTACCAACATCAAATCAAGCAGTCTCGGTGGTCCAGTGGTCAGGGCAGCTCATCGTTATAGCATCGACATCCGTAGGTTCTTTGGTTGGCAGGGTGGTCTACCGCAAAACAACTCTGAGCAGGTCCCGGGTTCGAATCCCGGCCGAGACAATCTCTTCTTTTTCTGCGTCATTCAAACACTGATTGCGTAGAATTTTCTAGCCCTGCAACTACCTGCATAAGACTCTCAAAGATGCATCAAGTTGCAGTTCGTCATTCATTCCAGTTCGCATTCCCTCACAATCCAGCTCCACGATGTCCCTTCACTCTGCCATGTCTAACAGCGGCCATCGTAACACCCTCTTCACCCGTCATCCATCCGGGCATACGCTCACCGTCGATGATCCCAGCCTCCACTAGCTGCCGTATGCCAGCAAAAATGTGCGGGCCGTGAAACGCCAGACGAGGGTTGGGACGCCATGCCCACTTCTCGTTATCTCTATTTTTCGATAGGTCTGGCCTGGCGCCATCTTGATTCGATTTTCTGTTGGCCGCGCCAGCGTCGCGATCGTAATCAACGGTATCCTCGCCATCCTCCTCATTTTCATCTCCCTCAGTCTCTTGTGCGAGATTGGTATCCACAGCGCTGCGCCGTCCCTTCGCTTTGCGTCCTTGAGCAGGTGCTGGAACTTCTTTATCTCCCATATTTTCATCTACTGCTTGGGGGAAAGTATCTTCGAGCAGGACATCCAGCCTCTCAATGCCTTTTCCGTCGTCCATCTTGGCTGAACCACCGAACCGGGCCTGTGCGACAAGACGAGCTCGTTTGTACCTCTTCTCTTCCTGTATCTCATCCGGATCTCGTATTCTTTTTCTCTTTTCTTGACCTACACTTTCCATACCCTTCTCTTCTGCCATTACCTCATCAGATAGCGGTGGAGAAGGCAGCATGGGGTTGAGTGGGCTGTGAGTCATTGCATCGGCGGACTTATCGCCAGCATACACGCTCCAACCTCCTGCAGCCGAGTTGCTCCGACCAGCACCCCGGAGACTCAACATCGCATCCAGGTTCTTGGTCTGCAGATTGACACTCGTAAGTGTATAACGCTCGCGCGGCCGCGACAGTGCCTTGGGCACACCCTCGACAACAAGTTGACGCAGGGATCGGGTGTCACCCGTCGTTGTCGGCCCCATGCTCTGTGACTTGCTTACGAAGATGTGTGGAGATGCGTCTGGAAATGCGATGTATATAGTGCGCGACGAGTCGAAACTTGTAATCGGGCGGCTTGTTATAGAAGTCGACGCCGAGACAGAAGACATGGCTAGGTCTGTATTGTATGGTGAATCGAGAACGAATATTCTCAAGAGAAGTAGTGGCATGCCTTTCGGCCTGTCAAAACTATAGTGCGCCTTGACATCGGGCAAGACCTCGGCTTGGAGATTCTCGAGGAATGTGCTTGGGTGAAAGCGGGGAACATTGAGTGCAGTTCTATCGGGTTTGTCGTGGCTGTTGTCTGCTTCTACGTCGTCCTCGTGGGCTGGGGTTTGGAGGCGCTGGATTTTGTAGCAGGCCCATTTGAGAGACCCTGGGTGATCGTAGAGATACTGCTGGTCTGCCATGGCGAGCTGGTATAGGCTCAGACCGTCGCGCCAATCGCCTTCGAGGATGCGGTCTACAACTTCGCGACGTCCGCCCTTGCGCTCCTGCATATCTGTATATAGCTCCCGCAGCGCAGCAAGGGACCGCGCGGGCGGGTAGAGGTCACCGGCGAGGTCATCCTCATCGTCTTCGTCTTCTTCCGCCAGTCGGCGCAGTAATGGTGGGCACAGGGAGACATTCTTTGGATCAAGCCAATCTAGAACGAGCGAGAGCAGCGAGGGTCGTGAGAGTCGGTTCACCGCCTTGACGACGGCTGCATTGGAGGGGCTGACACGGAGTGATGGTGGCAGACGGGATGCGGTCGGGAGAGACAGCGGCGGCGCCATGGCTACGCGCCGGACATGAGGTAGCCAGCTATCCCACTTTCGTGTCTAATTGTTGTTGCTTGACTGTGACTGTGCTTGTCGGTGCATTTGCTGGATTGAATAGAATCTGCTTATTCTCCAGTGACGTAGGCGCAGTGTGGTCCGGGATTTAGATGGTGGCTTCCATCAACCGCGTCGCGTCTCAACAACAGCCGTGACAGAAAGACGCAGCTGCAGCACATGATGTTCCTAAGGTGTGGTAAGTAGGTACCTCCCAGAACCCAGATAATGATGTTCCCCCCCAACGTGGTACCTTTGATGGCAAACACAAGTCTTATTGTCACAGATGGCTTCGATGCCTTCTGAACCCCCCTTTCACATTGTTATCACCAGCAACCATCCAAGTATTGTTCTCGTCCTCATGGTCCGTTACGTGCCGTGTGAGTGTCCATCATGACCAGGTGTTTTGCGACCATGCTTTGGGAGGTACTTGCTAGTGTGGGAGGGTGTCAACTTGGCCTGTTCCCGGGTAGGCTAGGAGACCACATATAGATAGTGGGGCCTGGCTTCCCTGCCTTCCCACCTGCCATGACGAGAGGCGTGAATGTTATTACGTTAGCATAGACTGGCCATAGGCTACGCGATGGATGTCTCCTCATCAAACACATCATGGTGAGATATTTTGGGGATCTTGACAATAAAATGCATGGAGCATCACATGTCTGAGTACGTAGAGGCATCATTCGCCTCCGTGTTCCTCGGTGCAGAAATGCCAGGAACGGGCAGGGGACACCCACACGTATTGCGTTGCACAAACATGTCATGTGCAGACCAAAATTCTCCTATCTGCACGGACTACTAAACACGTTAACCCATCCCCTTCGTCCCTTAAGGCATAAGAGATTAATTAGCAAAAAATAACCAGATCGGCATATTTAACCGCAAATAAACAATATATATATAATCCTACTGTAAATCTTATTATAATAAATATACCTCGGCCGGCCCGGATTAAAGCATTAGGTTATTTATATATTAGTATATCTGTACGTTTATTACCCTTTAAAAATCACTATATTAAAGCTAACAAAACGTTAATTTTTTACTATATCCGTTAACCCCGTAAATAAACTATCGTTATAATTAATATTATTATAATTTTAAAGCTGTTACGGACTTCGCTATCGCTTTTATTTCTATTAATAACCCTTTTTTATAACGATAAAAGCAAGTATTAACGCGTAAACGTTTAAATAAACGTTTAAATAGAAGTTTAAAGGTCGTAAGGTATAAATAAAGGTCCGTTAGCCCTTTTCGTTTAATTAATTTTAACTTATTTAAAAAATTACAAAAAATCAAGTTTTCACTAAAATCGTTAAAAACTTTTAAAATCGACTATTTTAGCAATTATTTATAAAATAAATCCCTTTTTAACCTTTTAGCCTTTTTTACGCCTTTTCGCAATGCCTTTAAACTCGCTAATTACGTTAGCCCCTAAAAAGGCTGTACGACAGGTCTTTTCTTTATTTATAAATTAACTACTTGCAAATTAACTACGTTAACCACGTTAACCACTACCTTTAACTTAACCACTTTTACCACTATTAAATTAACTACTTTTACTACTACCGCCTTTAATTCAACCACCCTTACCCCTACTACCTAAGACTTGCCCACTCCTACCACCTAAATTCGATAATTAGGTCGAGGCACGCGTTTAATTAATTATTACAAGCTTTAAAAAGCGTAAATTCCTTTCCTTAAATACAGCGTGCATTTTCTAAAACGCATTTTATTATCAATCACGTAATAAGGCTTACGGAGCTTATCCTTAAAATAAAAATAAAGGTTAAACGGCCTTTAATAACGCTTAAAAAATAGCCCTTTACGCGCAACTTTATCGTTTAATACGCTATAGCTACTAAATTAACGTTAATATCGTTTAACGCGCTTTGAATAAAATATTAAAGGCTAATCGCGATATACGCCTTATTAATCGTTAATTTAATTAAAAATAAGCCGTTAACTGATTTAAAAAGCATAAAACCCTATTTAAAAAGATTTAAGGTCAGTTTATATTAATAACGCAAAAGCTAGCCTTTAATTACGACTCTGTTAAAACATAGTTTAACCGTTTAAAAAAACTTCGTAGTTAATATAAATTAAGCCTTAAATTCAAATATAACATAAATAAAACGCCTATTAAAATAGGCTATATAAAAAATATATAGTTATAAACCTATTTTAACCGGTTAAAAATACACCTAACTAACCCTAATAACCGTATTTTAGCTATAACGATAAAAACTATTTTAACCGTTAAAGAGACTTTACTACTTTTTATCGTACTCCTTAAGCACTGTCACGGTTAGGTTGCAATTAAAGGCAGGGCTCTAATATAGGTACTAAGTATATATTAATAATAAAGTGAAAAAAAGAAAAAGAAACTATATATAAATAGGCCGTAAGTTTATATAAAAAGGTCTTAAGGCGGTAAAGGGTGGCAGAATAAATAAAAAATAACGGCAATACCGGATAGGTCGGTACCGAATAAATTAGCTAGCTAATACGTTACTACTTTTTCGCAAAATCCTACGGGGGGCAAAAAAATAATATGCCTACCGTTATAATAATCGATAAATATTAAAAAACGCTTTAATTATCCCGACCGAAATCGGGATCGAATAGCGTTTTTTAAACAAAAAAAAAGTACTTTCGGGAAATCGTGCAATTTACCGCTACGTTAAAAGCCTTTAAACTTTAGCACGGCTTATACGTTATTTTACGCCGTTTTTTAATACACCCGTAAAAATGCTTATATATATAGGTCCTACCTATTAACGTTTTTTTATTCGTTAATTTCCTATTTTTTTTAATTCCTTCGCATATTTTTTAATTCTTTTAATTCTATCGCAATCTTTTAGTACCGGGTTAATACTCGTGTTTGCGTATTCGATCCCGGTTATAGTTACCTAGCTTTGTTTTTTAATTACGTTACGTTCGTTTCAAACGGGTCTAATAAATAATCGTTGCTTTATTATCGTTAAAGTGCAAAAAATCGAAACGGTTTTTTATAACGGCCTTTAACCACTTATCGAGTTTTTTAAAAAGTCCCGTAGCGTTTAAATATTTATCGTAAAAGTCTTTAACTAACTACGCTAAGTTCTTTAAATCCTTAACGTATATTTATATATCGTTAAGGTCTT